TTTGATTGCAACTTACAGCTAGTGAACGCAAATTTATAACAATATTTTAACGGTTGCCATATATACAAACTCATTATAAACTTTCTTTCTTAAGAATATGAACACTACAGTCCATCTAAGTTGGTCATTTATTAACTGTCCGAATCACACATAACAAACGGACGTTTTCTTGGTGCTGATGTAGCCGCAGGTTGATTTCACAGTTGTAGTTGGTGAATGAGAAACAATTGCTTGACAAGAAGCAGTTTGGTTTACAGTTCTAGATTGAGGCATAGATTGATTGAGAATATCTGAAATCCCGGATCTGAAATGCGTCAATGATCTTCCATGGAGACATTATCGTAATGCTGTAAACTTGACACATTTTTGCGATTTGTTTTGGTGGAATGCCGGCTTTCGTCAGGGTAATAATTAGTTCTACTGGTCTTTCGGTATATTTCCCAACAACTGAATAATATCGTCGGCCATTATTGAAACGCAGACAATAATCTCAAATAACGCGCATTGTTTGTAAACACAAAGTACGGTAGTTCAAGGAAATAGACGGATTTACCAAATATGGTAAATGGGGCTCTGTCGTGATATGGAAAACTATTGCATGGCTCGCGCATCGAGATTCCCATAGCATTACAAATCTGGACAATATGAGGTATATGATAAATGCTAGATATGTATTTGAAACAGTTTTCCAAATTTTGTTTAATTGCCAGCAAAGCGAAGTTAGTGTGACGAGGAATAATTATGGTAAATAATTGCAAAGATTTATACCACGTATCAGTTTGCAATTCATGTCATAGAGAGTTAGGGTTGATCTGTGTTTTGTTTTTATGTTTCACACTTTTCATTCAAAAATTCCCTTCACCGACATTTTAAATTCTCCAATTACTCAACAAATATTAATTTTTTTCAGAATGTCAATGTTAAGGTACTTTTTTTCAAATGGTCCACCCCTTAGTGAAATAAGTACATATGCAACATAACCATTATGAATAGTAATGTTAAGGACCCCCTTTTTTTCAAATGGTCTACCCCTTAGTGAAATAAGTACATGTGCAACATAACCAATATGGATAGTAATTGTCACACGCAACGTAATATTACCGTAATTGGTATAGTACAGGTGTGATGGTTCAAATACCAAAATGGCAACAGTAACAAAAAGACTTCCCTGGCGGCGATGATAAAATACGAACACGGAGCCAAGAGATGAGGTTTCAACTGGTACTGGTACAATTATACTCTGCAGACATCAAGTACAATAACGCGGTAAAACTCCACTACTCCAATAACTAGATACTTAAACTCCAATACAATTCAACGAGATCTCCGATCTGAACTCAGTGCTGAACAACTCCCCTATATATACCCACACTGTCTATAAATAGACCATTACATCAGCATACATAATAAGTCTGGAATTTAAAATAAATTTCTAGAATGTTCCATTACCTTCTATTGCCATCCTACAGTGTTCTATTACCTATTCAACCAGTTTCTAAACAAAATCTAGAATATACCACCCAGACACAGTACGGTTCTAGAACATTCTCAGTGACACGGGAGTGGTAAATAAGTCGTATGCGACAGTAATATTAAGGACCCCTTTTTTAAAATGGTCCACCCCTCAGTGAAACAGGTACATATGCAATATAACCATTATGGATAGTAATGTTAAGGGCCCCCTTTTTTTTAAATGGTCATCCCTCAGTGAAATAAGTACATACCGGTAATATGCAACATAAACATTATGGATAGTAATATTAATTTCAAGGCACCACTAGTGCTACTAATCATCAACCAATCTACAAAGATTTGAGGCACAGATGAAGCTTGTTAGCAAAGAAGATGGAGGCTGCTATGGTTGGATTATTGTTCTAGCATGTCACTGCGTAGAAGCTGTTATGTTTGGAATTCAAGTTGGCATGGGAGTATTCATGGTGGAATTCATGGAATACTTTGGAGAAGGAGCCGGAAGGACAGCACTAATCCAATCAATAATGATCGGCTGTAAGACATTTCCTGGTAAGAATAATACAGTACTAATAACTTAGCAACAGATAGTAACAGGAAAAAAGCAGTTAAAAATGGTATGTGATTACTATAACAACTTAATCTTTAAAAAGCATGGATATATAAGTTGATATGGTAGTGTATATCCTGTACCAATGTTTGTTTCCAGTACCCGATAGCCAATTAATTTCGCTATTTTACTTTTCAGTATTATAATTCTGACGACTGAAAACATTATTTTTTCACACTGTCAATCATGTACGTGCATCACTACACTGTGATCATTAATATCATGGACATACAAGGCAGAAATGAAATTCAT